CCGTACATACAGTCGCCAGGTTTAAGTCGAACCATTACGAGCTAAAGTTTTATGCTGCGCATGTTATATAATCGACGACAGTTGGTCAAAAGTAGATGTCGTAGTGATTCGAGGCTACTGCTGATGCTTACTGATGTACTGCCGGTAACACTATAGTCTTGGCTAATTTGATAGCTCAAATAACACCAGAACAGGACGCGTCAATAGTTCTGATTGACCAATTCTCGCTATGACTTGCTCAACTGATCATTCAACAACCAGAAATCCTTGATATAATTCTTAATTTCTTTATCTAATGTGCCACATGCTGAATTATGGCTGATGCTGCATTGGTGATATTCAACAGCTTTGTGAACGTACAAACATCGGTCGGCAAGCCATGAAAAGAGATCACGAGAGATATGACTATAACGGTCTACGAGAATCAGAACTAGCTTGTAATGGTGCAGCGAATTCATGGAATTACCAATTGAGTTCTATACCTTGTTCAGTGGACTTGACATCAAGTCCTGAGAACAGATCGTCGTCCTCGTTACCCTCAGGTGAAGCATCTAAAGGGCAAGACGTGCATCAGGCAAAGTGTATTGATGGGTGATATCAGACAACTTTTATTACCTTCTTGTTTGGAAGAGAATGCAGAACGCCTCATACTATTATTAGTTCGAGTGGTCAAGAAACTCTGGTTTTTTGACATTCTTATCACCGGTGCAGTGGTACATTTGTGTGATTGGTCGAGAGAAATCTCAATATACAAATAAGAAGAATAATAAGCACAATAATAAATAAATGTTAATTTATTCGGACACGTCGTGAGCATTTCCAAACTTGGCCGCTTCGACTAAATGACACTATTCTGCAGTGTCTTAACGCATTTTACTTTCCCTCGCGAATCTACTGCAATACTAATACTGCTCCTGAGCACTGGCTGTCACGCTTCACGTGGTGTTTGGTGATTACGGTTTGAAGAAAAACTGTTCTCGACAATCGTAAGGAATAAGCTTTCTCACAGGCCATGCACTTTTCTCGTATTTACGTTTTTTGAATATTTCATCTCAATTGAGCTTTTGTCAAAGGCAGAGTGATTTTATTATTGACCCTGAGATTTAGTCGTTTCGATCGAGCCTTGGCGTCTCTACCACCCGCAAATTGGCGAAACGAAAATTCTATTACCCAAAAAATGTGTGTGTTGAGAGAATATGTGCGATGTGATCTGTTTTATACAATGTGTATTCGCCCAGACATAAAACAAAACAAAACAAATCCACCCAAATGCGTCTATTAACACCCAATATATAATCAAGATATCTAGGCGGATAACGAATTAGAGCAATAACGCACGCCTCGTTAATCTCCAACAAAATGACCAAGCTTTTTCGCTTAATCTTTATCGCCTTCACCGTTATTGCACTTGCAACTGTCATTTTGTCGATACCTCTCCCAGTCAATAAAAGGTGAAAGTTTGGGCTAAGCCTTTCCGCTGTTCTTTGGTATTTTGTCAGTGATCAGGAATAAAGATTATCTTGGCTTGTCAGTCGGGTTTTAAACTGTCCACAATGTCAAGTTATTCCTCAGCAATTGCACAACTTGCCACGATGCCGACAAAAAAAACCTTCACGAAAGAACCAAAAAGCAAAAAATGGCCCCAAGGTATCCATTGTTGGCGAATTAGACATGCATAACATAAGTTCGACGGGCTAGTTAATTAGCGTTTTGCAACGAATAGTCTGTACTCTATTACGGTCTGAGTGCATTAATATGGGGTTTAACACATGCTGTATGTACTATGTAAGTTACAATGTTTTTGTACCGGAACAATTTCCAGATCACTAATGTAAAAATATTTTCTATATAATTTATTTTTTATTTTTTATTTTTGTACACTACACTGGTTATTATTCCGTGTACCATTTTAAAGAGCAATTTGAATACCTTTATACTCATTTATTCATAGCCTGATTTGATTTTTTGGTCGCGATCTCAAATAAAAGAGACGTCAACATCTACAGAAATCAACTTAATTATTACAGTATTGAAAGAAAGAAAAAATACAATCTGTCGCATCAATAAATCGAGCAGTAATGTTGTATATCATGTAACATCGAATATATTTTTACGCGAAATTATGAAAGTCAATATTGCCAATTACTACCAAGTTCCAAACATTTGATCCGATAAATGGTAACTTTTCCTTGAAATTTGTATGACACGCTCTTGATTCTTGTCGCTTTGCATTAGATGTGAACATTAGCTAATCGAGAAGTTCTCGCAAATCAAGATCATAGAGGCTAACAAAGCAATCATCTTTGTTATCATCTCGAAATATGTCTGAAGGGGTCATTGTTTGGAGGAACGACTTATAAATAAATTAACAATAACGATAATCTTGTTGGAAATATATGTGATTTATTGATACTTTGTATTTGGTACTTAAATTGTCGTGCATAAAATAGAGATAATTTCACCTGGAGCAGTCGAATTATCGAAAGTTGAACCTATATATTTTGATTATATTATTTTTATCAATACGCGCGGAAGATACGAGTCAGTTCGAAATTAGATTTCTATTGTTATTAAGAACGTCATACGACATACAATAAATATTACTTGCCTTGCTGTGTATGATAACCACTTTAGTGCCGACATTTATCCTAAAATAATATTGTATAAGTTATCGTTGTTCCTAATTACTTAAGCGATCTCTCTCCAAAACAATAAAATTAATCAGACAATCAACTAGTTTTAACCTGCGTGGCTAAACGAGTTAGAAACATGCATTATGCAATCTTATCAACAACAGTTACTAATAGAAGGAAATCGACTGACAACATAGTGCAAAGTGCAAACAATACTCAACCATTGCAAAGATGTACGAACAATACGAGACTATGTGCCACAGAAAAAGTACAAAGTGCCAATCTCTACATTGCAGACTGACCACTCATCTGCACAGAACAAGCTGAAGGCAAGTCAACGACAAGTACTCGCTCACTAGAAGGAAGTCAACTGAGAACATAGAGCGAAGGTGCTAACAGTACTCAACCACAAGAAGCACGTACAGTACAATACAGTACGTGGCTACGCGTCGCAGAAGAAGTACAAAGGACCAAGCCTACATTGGAGGTCGACGACGCAGCTTCGGAACGAGCTGAAGTGAAGGGCCTATCAGCGACAGTTACTCGCTAGAAGGAGGTCAAATGACAATAGAGCAAAGGCACAAGACTTGACCGCTAGCATCACACAGACGTACGGACGATACAGAGGCTTTGCGTTATAGAAGAAGTAGAGAAAGTACCAAGCCTTACATGACAGACTGATCACACGACTACAGAACAAGTTGAAGTGAAGGCAATGCATTACACACAAAAGTAGAGCTTTCTATTGTCTTTTGCGGACAGGTTCCTCATTAATTAACTTAAGCTCTAATAATAATGTTTGTTAGCACACACCTTTGAAGAAACACGCGAAGAAAATTTCGATAGTGGAGAAGCATCAGCCGCGACAATTAACGATACTCATAATTTATATAGATTTTCGCTCGCGTTGCTACACGTGGTTGATATTCCGCTTATTGGTTGTCACGCTCTGCAGGCACATGCTGATTATCAAATCGTGATTATTGCGTCGACTGTGTTAGGGGCTGATCAATGATCGCCCGTATTGGTTGAACAGCAGGTAAATTGGTAATGTTGGTGAAATAACAGGCATCTGTGAAACATATAGCCTATTCTTCATGTCTTTGATTACTTTAGGCATGACAATGTAATACGCTTTTTACATCTAGTGATCCGTATGGTTTATCACTTTGGCGAACAATTATTCACAGTGTTTATATTAGAACATTATTAAGCAATATTAATTAGCACCGCATGCATGCAGAGTTACTGACTGTAATATTTATAAATATTCAATGGCAATCCAATCTAACAGCACAAGTCTCCTGCTTTACTACCCGTATGAAGCTTGACAATGAGTACAATGGATTGATAATCTCGAAACGAAAGTGTAATACTTTCGAATTGGTTGTACAACATAAGCGATCATAGTACTACCCACGTATGGTATCACGCAGATCGACGCTACCTTTAATTGTTAACCTTTACTTGGCATGTGTGGCGTTGTGATAAATGGGGAATTGTTAGGCGTGGAATTTCGGCTAGTTGTGGCGGGTATGGTATTAATATACCGCTGCGGAAACTGCGGAATTTTCAGTTTGTCATACTTATATGCACATGTCAATAATACATTATTTCTTTATTGGTTGTGTGGAATCTAGTATCCGTGTGATAAAGTTTGAGCCATGCAATTGATTTCGGGTAACATCCGATGTCATTTATTATTGGCAATGATGGCATTTCTTGAGAGGAATAAGATTTATTGGGCTGACTTAATTCGTCAATGTTCTCCCAAATATGGCCAAACAAAAAATGCATTGGTTTCAGTTTCATTAAGTTTAGGAATTTACATTATAAAAATATATATTCCAAACCAATTTCTATTTGCAGACATTCTCTCCGCAAACATCCTCTTTTCCCGACGATGTTTGTTCTTTTCGGGTATCCGGATCGACTTCCCGAATTTGCAGATCGTACCAAATGCCTAATCTTGAATAACAATACTTTTTATACATACAGTCACGCTTACAATTACATTATAAACGATGAAACAAATTTTGGTCTTCTTTCTCTCATACCTTTTACCGCTGTTTTCTAGGCACAGACTGTTCTTGGCATTAAGTCAGATTTATGTCCATAAAGGTCGGAAGGGAACACGCCACTGCAGCACCGAAAAGAAACCGCTAAAAAATAAATAATATATTTAAGCGCAAGGGTCCCAAATTTTAAACAAAACAAACAAATACTATATAACTTGTAAATATAACAAAAATATAGGTACAATCCCACATCGGGTTAAGGAGGAACGAATACACATTCTTAAGTGTTTCATCTAATTACTTGGAGCACAATAAATAGACAGACTTCTCACAAAATAGACCATCCACGATGGCTTACTTGTCACCGGATACCGCTCGTAATGCGGGAGGAAGTCAAATTTCTCTTGATCAAAGTATCTCAGCTCAAAGCAGTGAGGAACTAAGTCAACAAGATGTCAAGCAACAAATAGTGAATCGTACTGCCAATCCTTTCTTACTGTTCTGGAAGCAACTACTGGTTATGCTTAAGCGTAATGCTATATTACAGGTAGATCATTAATTCCATTTTCGATTACATATACATACTTGCCATCGCCGCGTATTGACTCACTCGCTTTTACAACTCCCCCCCCCCCCTGGTTTGGTTAGATTCGTTACCGTAAATCGACCATCGCCCAAATATTCCTGGGTCCACTCATATTCATCCTACTGCTATTCATCCTTAATGAAGCAAACAAAGCAAACGAAAAAAAGTCAAATCGCCACCCCATACCATATGATCTCGATGGTGTCGTTCGTTGTCAAGGAAGAAACGAAGGAGATCCATGTATAAATATTCTATTTACCCCCGATAATCCTGAAAATAGACAAATTCTACAGATCTTTTCTGCCAAGAATGCACAAAGAACGGGACAGGCACTACTAAATTTCGAAAATGTCAACTTGGGTCAGTATAATAAATAAAAGAGTTGGGATATACACACATACGCATTCGTCTCTAACGCCACTTTTTCGTAAACAGCTCTGACTGATGTACCAACAGACAACCTCGGCATAATACCCGTCGCAGACGCACAATTCATCTACGATTACACGCTCCAAAATCCAAACACTACATTGTTCGGTATAGAATTTACCACTGTTCGCCAACCGACAGTCAATTACCGCTACCAGATCTGGTTTAACAGCACTCAATCCGCCAACAACTCTGATGTATTCAGTGATCAAGTAATTGCCTTTCAACGTGGCATTGACGAAGCCATCATTGCTGTTGCTACCAGTTCCGGACAAACGGTAGACACTACGCCAACGTTTAACGTGCAACTCAAAGACTGGCCAAAAGTGCCGCCAACTGTGGTCGGAGATGAGATTGTTGGTTCACTTGGGAGTTTGTTCTTTTTCTGTGCCGAGATGATCATCTTCATTGTTGTGCTGAATACGATTGTTACCGAAAAAGAACAAAAGCTGAGGGATAGTTTGATTATGATGGGGCTGAAGGTCGAAGTGTACTGGTTAAGCTATTTCTTCTCGAACGCCTGGCTTGTGATTATCTGCTCTATTATTACCTGCTTCCTGGGGTTCATATTTCGATTCGAAGTGTTCACCAATACCAACTTCTTTGTTCTGATAGTAACGTTTATTCTTTTCGGCATGGCAATGGTGTCATTTGCTTTCTTTATTACTGTCTGGTGCAGAAAGGCTCGTGTGGCAGTATTGAACGGTATCTTCGTCTTTATCATTGGATTACTTTTCCAATCATTCGTCTTTTCGAACAACTTTGTTGGATATATCTGGTGGGATGTAAAGACCGCGTCATACTTTCGATACATCTTCTCGCTCCTACCCTTTTTCAATTTCGGAAAAATCTACCTCGACATCTCCAAACTATCAACTGGAAAATTCGACTTTTTAACAGAAACTATTATTAAAGGACCAGGATTTAAATATCATGATCTTTTTGATCCTATTCCAAAAGAATACCTTCCCACGTATGATGCGGCTGGACGCACTCCCATCGTGCCTGCTCCCATACAGAGTTGGTATTTGTTCCTAATGAATATTGGCCTTTACTGTCTGCTCACTTGGTATTTCGATAAGATTTTGCCCGACGAATTTGGTACCCGTCGTAGTCCTGTGTTCTTTTTATATCCCAGTTTCTGGGGTATTAAATTCAAGAGCAGTGTCACCACTGAACAATTGTTGGCCAAACTCCAAAAGAAACCAGATGATGATTCCAACGACAAAGAAGATGAAGATGTGGCCGCCGAGAGACTTGTTGCTTTTGATCCTAGTCAGGATGTGGCTTTGCGTATTTGCAACCTGCGTAAAGTTTATCGCCAATCTTGGCTGTATAAGAGTAAATTGGATAAAGTGGCGGTGAGAGATCTCTGTCTCGCTCTTAAGGAAGGTAAATGTCTTGCCCTTCTCGGTCAGAATGGAGCCGGTAAGAGTACAACCATGAACATTCTTTCTGGATTAACACCCGCAACTAGTGGCGATGCTCTGTTGTATGGATACAGTGTCCGCAATGAGATGGACTCTATTCGCAAAATCATGGGCGTATGTCCTCAGCATGATATTCTATTTAATGATCTTACTGCAAGAGAACACATTGAGCTATATGCGGGAATTAAGAACGTTCCAGCGGATGAAGTTAGGAAGCTTACCGAAGAGAGATTGGCAGCTGTTAGACTCACCAAAGTAGCTGACAGGCCAGCCGGTACTTATAGTGGGGGTATGAAGCGTCGTCTTAGTATGCTTATCTCTACAATAGGTGATCCACGTATTATCTTCCTTGATGAACCCACAACTGGTATGGATCCTGTGAATCGTCGTCACGTATGGTCGTTTATCGAAAACTTCAAACGCGGTCGTGTTATCGTTTTGACCACGCATTCTATGGAGGAGGCTGATGTGCTTGGCGATCGCATATCTATTATGGCTCATGGGAGATTGCGTGCATTGGGTAATGCTATTCATTTGAAAAACCGATTCGGCGCCGGATATCGTGTTTCTCTTGTTTGTCATCCATCCGATGCTTCTATTTTAAAATCCCGCGTTGAGGCTAGAGTGAGTGAAGCAAAACTAGAGGATGATAGTGCTGGTGCATTGATATACGAAATACCAGTGTCTTCAATGCATGTTCTTCCCAATTTGATTATGTGGATGGAGGATAACAAAGAGGCGAGTACAGCCGAGCCGACTAAGAAGTTGATCAAGGCATGGGGAGTGAGTCAAAAGAGTTTGGAAGAAGCATTCTTGAGATTGTGAGTATTATAAGTTTGTGTGTATTGGATGGGTAACCGAAATATGATGTTAAACAACTTTTTTTTTTCTTACTTTAGGATTCGGGAGGCTAATCCTCAAGGATATCAAGGATACGAGTTAGATGGAGAGACTTAGAATAACTTGGGAAATAGTCATTTTTGCATTTATAAATTAATTTAAGATTATGATTAGCTCGTCTTTAATAAACGATAACTAGAGATAATAAATAATGTTAACATAAGATACATACCACGGAAAATCGTTAGCACGTATGTCAACGAGGGAATAATCACGAGCATTCATTACTACATTTGGTTAAAAGACATGAACGCGACTAATTCTTACATGTATGCACGATATTGTTCAAACTGTTACAAACAACATGACATGATCGCATTGGATGGTTTTTTCCAAGCGTCGTTGTACGCTAATTTAGCTAACAATTTTCCATTCGATTGTTCGGAGCATAGAGTAGTAGATACAAGGCATTCGTCTGTATGCTGCATGTTGTGATCAAGCGAAACGTGCTAATGACATAATCTTCTATTTACTTCGAATAGGCATTTATATTTGTTGAAAATGTAACCTCGCAATTCTTTAAACCTTCCAATCCTTTTAATATTGTAGTCACAACAGTGTTTAAGTGCACGTTCTAGGTTTGAGCTTCAAGTGAATAATGGTAATTTTAACAAAGGCCGCGGCGTCAATTCCCTTGTGTTTGCCCGAATTGTTATTACAAAACGCGTAGTTCCATAATGCGCTTGTCGTCATTAACATAGCATGAGCGCGCCTTTTTGGCTTCATTTGTTCTTTTCATTCGTTGGTTTATTAATTGATCTTCCAATTCTTTTTGGTGCACAAAGACTGAGACAACTTGCATTCATAAAGCACGACTGACACAACTGCTGGAAATTGGAAAAGATTTGGAAACCAAGTTGGAGAGCGAGAGCTCATTCAAAGACAAATGTAATTCTCAAGCTAGCAAGAAAAAGAAATAGGTCTTCTGCGCGGCATTTGAAACGTTTGGCAATCACCGAAACAAGGAGCAAGAATTCGATGACTATGTGTAACCATATATTGCAAATGATAAAAATGATAAATAGGATGTAAAGTAATGAATGTAGATTTTAGAGAAGTTAACTTGAACGCGTAATTGGTATATATGTCTTTGATTAGTTTCTAAGTCAATTAATGAATGCCAAGCAGACTTGTAATGACAATAACATTATTACTGAAATGCGTTCTACAATCACTTCCTCTCGCTCGTTTTTCATTCATAGCCACTTCTGCCTCTCTTCAATACCGAAGCTCTCACAATGACTGTCAATGAAATCTGGGCCGCATACAAGCGTTCACGCGACGGAGATCACTTTACTGACAATGTTACATTAGTCTTTGTTCCCACCGCAGCAGGTGCTCGAGGTTACGATGCAGTCAGACAATTGCTCTCTAGGTCTTATGATAGGCGTGTCGTGGATGTTAAGGAAAAAGTGTTGTTTAGTACCGTATCGAACAATGCGCTTGTGGAAGAAACAGAGACTACGATTTCCTTTCTGACGGGAGAATGCGGGTGGCTGATTCCCGGAGTGGATTCTCGACATGCTGTTGATGCGAGGATTGTTATTCCGATGGTAAGATTGAAATATTGACGGGCGAATACTACGTATACGTATCTAGTCATGCTGATTGGATGATTTGCAAGTTTATAGGTAACCTCGGCAACTTTCGAGAATGATAGGATTTCGTCTATTCGGTAAATAATCTGATCAATGAATAGCTTGCTTTAAACACAACAAGATATCAAAAAGTCGACTAAAAATAAATACCTCCTATTATCCATACGTTATCAATTTTTGATTTCAGACTCTATTGGGACCAAGCCTCAGTTCTCAAGCAACTCAGACTGTAACTACCATTCTTTCAATCCTTCGATTCGACAGCCTCAAAGACACGGACTACTTGACGCTTTATTCGTCTTCCTTTACACAGCATTTCCGACAAGAGCTCATGGCCGATTGTTGGTGAACGGCAAATCGATACCGTCCGTGATATGGCTACGGCTCACCTGAATCCACACAACATTACTAGTGGAGTAGCACAAATGGATATAAATCGTAAGTTGGTGATGAATAGTAAATTTGACTTTGGGTTGAAGCGTGTTTGAATTTATTAAAGGCAACGTGTTTGGATGATTGATCTCGGTATTTATTATTAGAGGGTCCACCCCGACGCAATATTCATACCAGTAGCCGTGTACTTCAACCTGGTGGGACCGGCGGAAAATCATCTGTATTCGACACCACCGCTCCGAATGAACGTAAGTCCCTCGTATATTTATGCCATTCGCGCATTGCCTTATTCAACTCTTAAATCTTCTCCATGCCGCATGTTCAGCCACAAATACGAAGTACAATGCCAACAAGAATGCATCTCAGTTCGCGATTGCCGACGACCATGATGACAATGCCTCTGTTTCCTCCGGAGTAGTAGAAGAATCACACCGACGCAATATTCATACCAGTAGTCGTGTACTTCAACCTGGTGGTACCGGCGGAAAATCATCTGTGTTCGACACCACTCCGAATGAACGTAAGTCCCTCATATATTTATGCCATTCGTGTATTGCCTTATTCAACTCTTAAATCTTCTCCATACCGCATGTTTAGTCACAAATACGAAGTACAATGCCAATAAGAATGCATCTCAGTTCACGATTGCCGACGATCACGACGATAATGCCTCTGTTTCCTCTGGAATTTCTGGCTCCACTAGACGACCTGGGAAGTCTCAATTTGAGTCCAGTGTCGTAATAGGAGACGATACTGGTGGGAGACTTGGTGACAATGACCCTGTGGGGAGAAGCAACGCTAGCATGAAGCCTTCTAGTCGGTACGTGTTTAATTAATGGTGTGGGGAGAGTGGAGTGGTAACTTTGATACAAATCATGTTACGGAGACTGAATAATTCCTTTTTTAATAGTGTCTTAAGACCCCCGGGTGGTGGGTCTTCGTTTACTTTCGGGTAAAATAAATAAAAATGGTGCTGTGTGCACACATGTCCTAGGAGCGACTGTTTATTAAATAAATACTAAGAACAAAACGTGAACCATTATCCTTGTGCAATACGTGAAGAGTTATCCTGCATTATTATATAGTATTGGAACAAGAAAAAGGAGCAAAGTATCACAATACGCAAGAACCAATGGTGCATCATTATTTCAGATTAAAATCGTATAAATTTGTTTTAACGGGTCCTTCCCATACAAAGAGCTTTGTTCGATCCCTTGACACGGGACATGTTGGCTGCTATCCTTTATGCCAACGTTCTACAGCAATTGAAAAGCAGTCTCGTCTGAAAGCGTATATTTTCTAATTATTATTATGATTTGAGCCTACTCTACGCGCTAACGCGTTGCTCTCGGAAGATTTTTTCGATAACACTTCTGACCCAAAATACTTTACTCAAGTTCTACAAGTTACATCCACTTCCTTTGAAGATAGCTTTGTTGCTAAAGTCCTTTGTTGAAATAGAAGAATCATTGTGTTAATGTTCTTGGTGCATTTGGGATGTTACCCTTAAATTGGTATGTCTCAAAAAAAATATGGTGGTAACAGAGAGTCGTGTATTTCCACAATTACAAAATGTAATGAATTTATTATTAAATAAATAGCTAATCCTATTGCCATTTTGCTATAAATCTAGTTTTTAGACAAAACAATATTTGTATTTTTTGACCCATTATTCACTTATATTGATTAAGATATGGACCCTTGAATTACGTTTTATTGCAATAAAATTCTTTTGCAGCCCTAGATGTGGCTTTCGATCGGTAGAGAAAGTTTTTTATGTGTTCTCTTGCTGAACAAATCGAAGTTGGATTTAAAAATATTGTTAAGCTCTACAAAAGACAAAAATTGCTTTTTTATTATAGGAAAAAATAAATATTCTTGTTCTGTAGACAAAGTTTATTTGCAAAAATTACCATTTATTTTTTTTGAGCGGACTGTAAGAATGTTACGGCGCGTATCACAGTTCTTTGCAATAATTGTATTTGAGACTGTTCGTAAATTAGTCTCTCAGACGTGTCTTTAGCCTAAACTCAGCATGTTATATATTGATTTACTACCAAATAACATGTCTCTAATATCAACTTCATGGAAACCGGTCGTGATATATGCGGGTTTGGTTAGGGTTAGGGTTAAATTACATAAACAATCGTAATCGTTCATGAAAGAAATGAACCCATTGTTTATCGGCATTAGACATTCATATTAAATAATGATAGTAAAATTGATGACAGCACTGAACTGCCAATAGTCAATGCCAATGATGCTATAAAGAGTTTAGAATTAGTTCGTTCCTTTTTGCAACAGCAAGAAGATTCTAAAGAGTTACTTAAACATGTTAATGCTCTTGATTAGTACATTGGTTTAAAGTTGATGAATGCAAAGAAACAAACAACCATAGATAATTTTTTTAACCAAAAATAGTAAACAGGTATTTTAATTTTGTTTTTCATTATTATGAATATATAAATAACTATATATCACGTGCAACCAATAAAATGTTGACTCTCCATATATGCACACCCTCCATATATGCACACTCCAGCTCATTCTCGAGGGTGTGCATATATGGAGGGTTGACTGTAGCCATCTTCCGAATCTATTCTTGAGATAACGGTTGCCCTTCTGAATGAGATGGTATACACAATAGTTGTAAGAACTGCGATCATTTTTGTTTAACTAAAAAGGTTTTCAGTGATATAGGTAGTAATGTGATTATGTCTTTGATTTTGGTTTTTGTTGGAGAACTCAAAATGGCTGATGTGGCTAGAAAATGAACTAATTTATAACATTTTGGTGAGGCTTATAACTGCACAAATCATCGATAGCATCTTGGGTAGAAAACTGAGATTACAGTGAGAAGAATGGCGAAATTTAATAGCTGAGCGAGCCCAAAGAATAGGGACAGTTATCGCCTTCCGAGGCAGGTCTAGGGGCTGACTGCTTCCCTCCCTTGCAAGCTCGCGATTGTTTTTGGCGAGTTTATTTTATTGATCACTTTACTATTACGTTAACAGCGAATAAAAACAATCCGATTATGCATCACGTTTTGTAGGCATGACCAAAGCAGACAGAAAACAACTGAGAGACTGAGAGAAGAAACAACAAGCAATTGCCAAACAGGAGATGTCCAAGCTGATTTTGCTATGGTGCAAGTCATCTATACCTGACAATCACGCGATAAAAAAATAAAGCATTTTTAAAGTCTTTCAACTTCTTACACAGATGAGATATCAAAAATCCGACTGGTAACTTTGTTCTTCATAACAAGTTACCGGTCAGATTTTTGATTAGATTTTTTTGTGAAAAGTTTTAGGGATTTAAAGTTCTTATGTTAATCCAACCACGTGATCATATCAGTAGCATATAATTGGTGGCAACCGAGTGGGTTCCTGTCGCGCCAATATTCTCCAAGTGCATTTCTGGCCAAAAGATTGGTTTTACCTCCTCTTTATATCTCCTAAGGAGCAACTTTGCCTTTTCCTGTCTCTCATTTTGTTCTTGTTCACAATCAGCAATAGTATTAAGGCACCTAAGATATTGATATATTTTCCGATCGAAAGGTTCTACCTTACACTCGTCTAGAAACCTGTAATGCTCCAATCGGAAGGCTTTCGCTTGAAGTATTCATGCAATTTGTCTATCATTGTTTTTTGATATAGGATAATAATCAATAAATCAATAAATTTAGTCGGGTTATAAATACAAACCATGCGTGGCTCACTGGCTAAATCAGGAACAAATTTGGCTCAACCCCTGTTCCCTTAGCGGATTTATTGAATTTGATATGTGTTTTTTTCATAAAACACACTAATATTCACCGCAACAAAAAATAAGCTTTTATTTGGTCAATTATATACAGTATTTGCAAATTTATTACTTGTATTAGTCACCGCCTTTTTCGTAATTGCGAATCGCATGTAGTCTGTTCACGTGTATCATATTCCTATTTGCGTAACTGTCTCCTGATCATTTCCAAAAATAAAATTTGCGCACTGTGCATAAAACCAGACATACATAAAACGATAACATGTCTTCACCCAGCGCTTCTCCACCTTCCTCACCCGCTTCTACATCCTCTACTTTGACGGAAGAAAGGTCAACTCGCACGATGGCAGATGTTGTTAAGGATTTTGATACGGAGGAGCTTATCGAATATCTGCGGAAGAAGGACTTGAAGCTTAAGGAATCCCACTTCAAAATTTTTCGGCAGGAAGAAATTTCTGGTCTTGACTTTCTTGAGACGACAGAAGAAAAATTCCGCAGTTATGGTCTGAAGGGAGGGCCTGCTACAAGACTGGCAAAATTCATTGAGGGTCTCGAACAAAAATTAAGAACCTATTCATCGTATAAAACTCTGGACGACTTGAAAGAAATGCTACGTAAGAATAAAGTCAATGGGGAGGATATAACAAATATCAAGCAGTTCACACCTGGTAAGTGATACATTATTTCTTGGTATTTTTTAGCGATGGCTGTCATCGAAATTTTAATCATATAATATTTTTTTCTAGTGTTTGAGGAAATAGACGATAATAACAAAGCATTCAGCCACTGTATGGATGATATAATCCTAAAATTATCAAACGTAGAGACTATGACGGTGCTGCGCATCAATTATCATTGGTCATTCTGCATACAATGGACAATCGCAGCAATTGTGAAAGATCTCGAATGTTCGTAATAATTACGTCATTGACTAAGCCACTAGTATATTACGGTATTAGATCACAACGCACACAGCACATCTTCTCTTACTAAAGAAAAAGAAATGGCGACTTACGAACGTGTTGAAAAAGAGTTGAAAGAAGCGAAGGACCAGCTCAGCAAGGCGGAGGCTGCGGTGAAGACGTTTAAGGAGGACGACAACGGAGGGAAGTGGCTGGATGAGTTAAACGGGAAGCAGCGGAGAAAAGAAAGACTTGACGAGAACGAGACGGAAAAGCTGAAGGAGCTTACTGTGGAGAAGGAGCGTCTGGAGGGGATGAAAGACTACTGGGCGAAACAAGTGGGAGAGTTGCAGCTCAGAGTAACTGCAGCTGCTCAACCAGGTAACGACTTTGTGACTCGGGTGTTGGGACATAGAGTAGTGTGTACATAGGTAGAGTAGATGAAGTAGTACGGGGCTGTAATATAGTTGTGTCAAGACTTATGATTAGCATGACGTATTCTTCCGTGATTTCCGATGAGTTACACGAACATTTCCAAGCCGCAGCGTTTTCGTTTCACGAATTTAATTGGAATGTAGGGAAACAGATTTCGATATATCGGGTTGATAGATGAAAACGAAACAGATTTCACCCGATGTGGACGGATTTGTTTCGTTTAATTTAACTCTTATGTATTTATTAGTTTTAGAGTATAAAACAGCGCAGTAGGCGCAGAACTCGACATAGATATATAAGCAGTCGTAATTTCCTTAGCAAACGGTGTCTTCGATTGAATAGATTCGATCTTGAATCTGATACTTATATTCCTTAAAATATTATTTATCAAATAAACATAATTATCCAAACTTATATTTTGTATTCTCTGATCCATATTGTGGAGCGCCGATAAAGCCTAACAAAACGCTTTCTTGATCGGTGCTTGGAGAAATCGACCTTGTCTTCGATTACTCCCTCCTTTGACAATAAAGATTTATAATTAATTTATTTAGCGCACTAGTTAGAAAAGTTTCCCAACCTATAGGCTTTCGATCTAATCCCACCGAGAGAAATAGACGTATTTACTCGAGGTTAATTATAAATCCAGAGAAGGCGTACGCAAGATTCGAACCCCGCATCGTGAGCGTATAAACCCAACTTAAAGGTCACCAATTGTCGTTCGCGGATTTATCAAAAGTAGAGGTAATCAAGGGCCTCGTCGGAAAAGACTAAATCCCAAGGTCAATATTCGTTCTGCTCTCCCCCGAGTATTGGCTCGACAGTTGTATTGGTTGTAAATTCATTTATGGAGTGAGCTTACATATAGTTCTAATTTCTGTTCCGTTATTGGATTCAGAGAGCGAGCGAGCATTGAAGAGACCTCGTATTGATAGAACTGCTACCATTTGCCAGAAACTAATACCTAAATTTGAAACTATCCCGACCCGAGCAGATCAACTCGAACCTTTTATAAATGCACAACTTCTTTGCAAGTTGCCGGCATCCAAGCACGAGGAGGAGCAGGTTTGACATCAACCTTTTCCATATACATAGTGTTGTGACTACCTGCATTAATAGTAGAATCAACCATTTTTGCAAACTTTTAGTACCCCGAGCTTTTGGAACTGGTCTACACAAACGAAGATGACAGTTACAGTGATTTGGCCAGCCATGTTTCTGTAGTGCTAAGTAGACAGTTTAACGACAATGTCTCGGATATTGAAAGTGAGGATGATCTGCATCACGTCATAGATAGTTTGATCAAAGACACACTTTGTCTGTTTAGTCGTAATGCCGTGCCTGGAAGCCTAGACCTTTTGATTCGTTGCAACACTGTAGATAGGTAAGCCTTCATCTGTTACTATCTTGCTGTGATAGTGTTTACAGTTTTGTGTTCTGATTTACTCTGCAATTACTTTAGGGGGTGGACAACCACAACAATAGGTACTTGTCGACCAGATTTTCTTGTTCACCATAAAAATGTTCTCGTGCTCAAGGGTGAAGAAAAGGCTACTCCAAATTCTTTCCACGAAGCTTTGGGTGATCTCACGGATAAGTTTGATAAGCTTGATCCTCTTTTTTTTGGCGATCAACAATTTCTTATCTGCTATGCTGTGGCTGGATGGAAAATTGGCTTCTATGCCATTGATGGTACACCACAGGCCACATCGAAGCCAAGCCGTTTAATCACTCTGTCACCTCAATTTGACCTCCGGAAAGTTGTGGATCGGATCACTGTTATTTCTGTGACTATTAACATATTGCGAATTTTGGTGACAATAGGACCTTATCTTCCCAATGATGTTATCCCCCTTTATATACCGATTCAACAAGCTTCGGGTTCAACAATTACATTCTACGATGACTCAGTTGTGAAGGAGCTTAGTTTCCAATATCTTCCATACGTTGATGGCAGTCTGAAGGAGCATATTGCATTTCTAAGAGAAATGTATGCTCATGTGAAAGGATGTTTGAATCTTGTTCAGCTCAAAAAACGACCTATCAAAGGTCGCTCGACATACAGCTTGATTATGACTACGCGTGGTATTCGAAGGTTACCATGTAACGAGACCGAGTTGCGTTCAATGGTAAGAAGCTTACTTGTTGGGCTGGACTGTCTGCACAGCGGCAATTATGTGCATCGTGATATTCGAGAACCCAATGTCCTGTTTGTGCCTGAAAACCCTGCTGGTTCGAAATATGTACTTATAGACTTTGAACATGGAGGTAAAGCTAATGAGAAGATGAATGAACGATTAAGTGATTGGGACCAGAGGACCCTTTCCAACAACCAATATACTACATTATCTGACATATACCAGTTGGGGAAACTGATAGAAAAGCTTGTGATGCACTTTCAAATGTCAATTTCAGATAATGGAAAGACTTTTGTGAAGAAATTGAAGGAGAAGAAAATGAATGCTACACAGGCGCTTCAACATGCATGGATCACAGATGCAAACTTTCCATAACGTAGAGTTGGACGTTTTCGTAATCGATTTCTACTAAGCCTTTACTTCGTAAAACTTGTACATATTGTCATAGTGTTTTAGTCTGTAGCATAGTAACAGGTATACCACTCGATTTGTGTTATTACAATGCCGCTTGTGAATAAAATGCATATCTAGAATCTTTGCGAAATTGGTTCTCTGTTATAAATAATGCAAGTAAACTAGAAAAATATATATAGGATTACCCGTATATGATAAATAACGAATATAATGGCTCCACTGAATATGAAAAAGCAATCCGTTTCTTGGAGATAGGTTGCAATTGTGGTTGTTCGAATATTATTTCGAGAGAAAATTTTGCCGAATTACGTGAAGCGTTTCAAGCTCTCTCTAGATCCGAACAAGATATATTTTTAATGGCCCAACTGAAAGCGATGAATGGTGGAGAAATAACTGCCAGCCGACGTCTTAAAAAGAAAACGCGCACTAATAAGAGAACTTTTTATTATTGAGATCGCAATACGCCACTTTGTCAGAAAACGTATCTCAATATGTTAGGAAT